AGGGGAATTTAATTTGTATTTTTATGGTACAATAGATCCCACCAAAGCTTATGATTTACAGCATCTCATTTCAGCTTTTAAATAATAACTAATTTAAAGAATGTTTTAATAGCTGATCCTTACTACACCACAATAACATAATAAATGTCTTAATTTATGAGACTAATCATATTCCAATCATGAGGTATCTAGCAATTCTGACTTATTGATAATCATCTAATTTCTACGGCCCTACCATGCTATCCATTCAGATTCAATTTAGAAATAGTCACAAGAGAGGTCAGACCCATACCGTCTCTTCCTCGGGTGGAGTCCTGTAGCTCAGTGGTTAGAGCACTCGCTTTGCAAGCGAGAGACCTGAGTTCAATTCCTGGCAGGGCGAAACCTTGGGCAAGTTTCCTTACTCCACACAGAGCCTAATAATAATCCCTCCAAAACCAAAAACAATAATAAATTGGTCATTTTCAATCTACGACTGTTTGTGGGACATTGCTGTGCGCAATTGGCTGCCGCGTTCGCTCACAAATATACAGTTAATTCACTTTACAGTGTATTCTATGAAGCACTTTGGGACATCCTCCCGACGTGAAAAGCACTATATCAAATTCAAGGATTATTATTATTATTATTACACAATTGAGCTGGTTTTAAATGAATCTAGTATCCCAGATTCTACCACCTCCTTGGCAACCTGTTGCAGCTGTTGAATATCCTCTGCGTAAAGAAATGCTTCCTGTTGTCTGGCTTGTCTATCTTTCTTCCTGTTGTCCTGCCACATTGCCATAGCTGAACGTATTTTCCTGGGTTTCCTTTCTCCTATTGAACATCTTATCACGAGTACAGTACCCCCTTACAAAACTACTGTCATCATCGCATTTCAACCTCTGTGTGTTCTCCAGCCTGTTTCGGTTTGTAGCACTCGGTTTGCAGGATCAAACTCCACATCGGAGCTTTGAAGTCTTATAATCTAGGCTGACCCTTCAATGCAGCACCGGGGCTGTTCTGTATTGTTAAGAGGTACCAGCCTTCAGATGAGATATTAAAATGTCCCATTTACCTGTTCAGGGGTTGTTAAAGATCCCATTGCGCTATTCAAAAAGAGAAGTGAATTTCTCTGGGTGTCCTGGCCAATAATCCCACATTAAAATAAGTCATTTGCTTCATGCTGTTTGTGAGACACTGGCTACCGCTTTGCCAACAAAATACACAGTGATTACACTTTACAGTATATCATTTAAAGCACTGTGGAACATCCTCCCAGCTTGAAAGGTGTTACATCAAATATAAAGGTTATTTATTATCATTATTACATCCCATCTTCAATCTGCCTTTCCTCTCTAAGTTGCTGGAACGAATCGATTTTTAGCTGTATTCTTTCCTTTCCCACCATTCCTTGAACTCGTCTGTTCTGTATTCTGCCGTGCCCACATCATTGAGACTGATCTGGTCAAGGTCACCAATGACATTCTCTCCATCTGTGACCAGGGCTCTCTTTGCCTCTTTGACTTCCTTGAATTCTACTGCTTTGACACTATCGATCACTCATTCTTCCACTCCATTCTTCTCCACCATCTCTACTCCCTGCTCCACTTCCATAGTTCTGCCCTTTCCTGGTTTCACTCTTTACTATCAACATCTTCACTTTGTTTCTTTCTCTGGCTTTACCTCATACTCCTGCACAGTCACTTGCAGCATTCCTCGGGCCCTTCTCATTTTCCTTCTTTGGTCCTCTCATTTTCACTGTCTATATGCACCCACTTTGTCAAAACATCTGGACATGGATGCAGATAACACCCATATATATCTCTGTCTCTACCCTTGAATCTAGGATCAATGCTGTCTTGACTGATTGGTGACAGACATCAAGGCCTCAATGAGTTCTAACATTCTAAAGCTCGACAGCACTGAGGCTCTCCTGCGTGGCTCCCATCAATGCCTTCTCACTCCAGTTCAACTACTATGCCAGCCACTCCCTCAGCTCAAATAATAGCAGCCTGCTTCAAGTCCCCCACCTGAATTGGCTGGCGAGCTTTCTGACATTCTGGAGTTCCTCTGCCTTGTTCCTCCCTCTCTACTTTTAAAGCGTGCCCTAATATTCAAATCACTTCATGGCTTCAACCCACATTTGGGATCTCCTGAAATCTGCCCGTTACTTCCATTCAAGCTAACACTTAGATGGCCACTTTCATGTCCCCTTGCATGATCCATCCCACCATCAGTGGGTGAGCTTTCTATCATTCCATCCTCACTCTCCCAAACTCCATCCCGGAGTCTCTCACCTCTCTGAGATCTTGTGTAAAACGACAAACTATCCCACACATTCCTCATGAGCAAGGAAGCCAGCCTGTTCCTTCCTGATCAAACCACAAGTCTCCAATCCATGTAATATGCTTGCAGTGACAACCCAAACCACCACCTTAAAAATGACATAAAGCTAAGGAGAAACCAACCTATGTTGTGTTCAGCAACTTCTGCAAGGCTTTCAATCTCTAGGACACTTCCCTGCATGAGAAGTGCTACATAAATGCAAGTTGTTGCTGACCTTGGGGCTCATGAAGCCCTCATGATGAAACTGGAAGCTTTGGGAACACATGGCGAATCTTGCATTTTTTCTGGAAAATAGTATAATAATCCTTGCATTTCATATAGCGCCTTATCACGTCTTCGAGACATCTCAAAGCACTTCACAGAATATACTGTAAAATTAATTGACTGTATATTTTGTGGCCGAAAGACAGCAGCCAATTGCGCACAGAAGTGTCCCACAAACAGTCGTGGGTTGAAGTGACCGATTTATTATTATTTTTTTTGAAGGAATTTTTACTCCCGGACAAGATTAACAACCGGGTTCCTACTTACTGCTAGGTGAACAGAGGCGTGTGGAGCAAGGAAACTTGCCTAATATTTTGTCCTGCCGGGAATCGAACCCAGATCTCTCGCTTGTGAGGCGAGTGCTCTTAACCACTGAGCTACAAGACTCACAGGACTGAAAATGTATTCAAGCTCCAAAATCTGTGTAAGCATCTACAATGGATTCTCTGGCAAGGCTGCCCATTGTCATCCATCCTATTCGATGTATTCATCAATGATGAGTTGGATGACATCAAGGGGGATGGACTTGGTGTACCTGTTCCAAGCCTTTTTGACAGGATTGTGGCGCTTCTGTTTGCAGACAATATTGTGCTGCTGGTGGACTCACCTGGGGATCTTTTGCACTGTACGTGCCATCTTGAACACTGGGCCATCAAGTAGAACATGGTGGTGAGTGCCTCCAGGTGGGGAATCATGGTTCTACACAACCCAAGGGAAGACTCAATTGAGGGAATTGATTGGAAGATACAAGGGGCACCCGTCCCATTTGTTGATTCTTATCACTCCCTGGGGGTTGTGGTGGACACCAACTTTTTCTTGGAATACTGTCCTTAAGGTCGAGAGAAGGGGCGAAGGCCACTCTGGGTTTGCTCGTTTCTCTTCAAGGCAGCAAGATCCCAATGTAGATCTAGCTTGTGGCATATAAACTATGTGCAAACAGTCCTCTGAGCCCCTGGTGATACAAAGGAAGAGCTTCCCCTGGCTCATTTGCAAAATCCAGGATCAAGCAGTGTGGTGGATTTATGGCAAACATGGAAAGCAACTGCAGGGAGGAAGAGCTCCAGCCTACACTGACCTGTTGCTAAGCACCCTGTGGACAGAGCTGGCTTCACAGCTCCTCGCATGAGGACCTAGATTAAGCAGTTGGTCCTGAGTAAGCCTTGTACGCAGCATTGGACTTGGAACTCAAGAACATCAAGGTGGCTGGCACGTCGTAAGCTGTCCTGTAAAGATCCTCTCACCACACTGAAGGCAAATGTCTGTCAGAGAGCTGATGAGGAAACTCTGAAGCTTGTAATGACAGCTGCTGGAAGGCGTTACCTGGATTCTGAGTTCGTGGACATGCATTTGTAAATCCATCGCTTAGAATCCACCTTGATTGGTTTGCAGAGGGATAACAAAAATTTGCAGCTGTTTAAGCTCTGCACCTCCAATTGGTCCAAACATCACTTAAAGAAAAGGGATGGGTGTCTGAGCTATGGGCAGGAAGATGGTGGCAATGCTCTCATGCATTTCATGCTGAGCTGTGTTGCCCACCAGGAAGCTCGCGGGAAATTCCTGGTACCTACCATCCACCTAGTGAGGGCTGAAACCTGAACTAGTCAGACATCAAATGACCAACTTGTGACTATCTTCCTTGGAGAGACTTAACTGGGAACCAAGTTGACATGTTTGGGATGGTAATGTCAGTTTCAAGCCTACCTACAATGGAATGTCAGAATCAAGCCTACCCTCTGTTTAGTCTTGATAATACAGTTCTTGAGCCAGGCAGGTCTACAATACTCCACGGCACTACTGATGACAGTCCAGGCAGTCTGGTTCATCGGCAGGACTTGGAAAGATAGACTAGTCTCATTACTTAAATACCATGTCATCTCAGCAGGAGTATAAACAAATCTACTCTCTGATTTCATTGTATCTGGTTAGTTGGAATTGGAGTGAAAAAGGAATGGGAATTATTTTCAAAGAATAATGTTTGAATTTTTCTTCAGTCACTCATTTGCATGAAGTTCACCATAATTCTCTACCTACAGTATGAAAGATAAAGCATATTTTGTTTTTAAGCAAGAAATTGCAGATTGAAAGAACACCTGAAAGGCACAGAACACAGATTTAAGAACTGTTTATGTGATATGGGGTATTGTTAGGTGAATGGAATAGCACAACTGCCAGTAATTTTGGTAACAATAATAATAATAATCCTTGCATTTGATATAGCACTTTTCACATCTAGACATCTCAAAGTTCTTCACAGAATATACTGTAAAGTGAATATGCTGGTAAATTTGCTAGTTCATTATATGCCATGTTTAAGAAAAAAATCTTGAAGTACGATATTATATTCAGAACAATTTTCTAGTTGCAGATTAACTTGCAGAGTATGCTTATACTTTTTTTTGTCTTTGCAGAAAATCCAGTTACATTTCCTGAGAGCAACAAAGACAAAGAAATCATAACACCAATTGAAGATGTGCAAGTTGAAAGCTCGATTCCACATACAGATTCAGGCATTGGAGAGGAGCATATATCTAGCCTCATGAATGGCTCTGATATCGAAACAAACACTGGCCTGGATGCCATGAGTGATCTTCTGTCTTCGTTGTCCTCAGAAGTAAAGAAGTCACGAGAAAGTTTAGCTGAAAGCCCAACTGAAATACTGAAGCCAGCTTCATCTATAGCCAGCATCAGCCAAGGAAAAGGCATGAATGTAAAGGAGATTCTAAAGAGCCTAGTTGCAGCACCTATGGACAGTGCAGAATCTGGACCGGAACCTGTATCGTACCCTGATCCTACTGTGAAGAGAGAAACACAGGCTATTCTCCCAATGCAGTTTCATTCCTTTGACAGGTGAAGAGTCTAGATGTTGTTTTAATTTATTCACCCACCAGAAAATTTATGAATGTGAGTGATGAGGTGATATTGGTGAGAGGGGGAAAGGTCTCCAGGGGCTTCAAAAGCAGATTGAACAGCAGCAACACATAGCCCAAGCCTGTCGTCTTCACAGCTCAAAGCCATAATGGGAGGTGGCAGCCTGAAATGAGTTGCCACGGCAAAGTGTATTATTTTTGAAATGCTTTCACACAAATCACTGAGCTCCACATACAACTTTGTTTCATGGTTTAATGTCATCAGGAGGCACAAATTGGTGTGTCTAATTGTTTGCCACCTGCCAGTGAAATGAACTGCCAGGAAGACAGAAGGATCTGTTTGTCTGTCAGCCGTTCAGGAGATTGAGAGTGACAACATCAAAAATTTCACTTGAAAGTCTGAAGCTTTGATCGGCCTTTAAGAGACCTCTCTCTCTTGTGCTTCTGGTCAACTGATTTTTCAATTAGTTTTAAATATATTAGGTTTCCACTGCCTCATCTGTCTTTAGGAAGATGTAATTATATTATGAACAGTCTAAACAGATTTCTCGTCAATGAAGGTCCAAAGTCCCATGATGGTATTTGTATAATTTCGAACCAAATATTTGGAAAAGGCACTATTGTAATGTTGTACGCATCAGCAATACTTATTCAATATAAACTATGAAGCCTATCTTTTTGTTGGAGAGGATTTTTCGAAAGGAATTATCCTTTTTAAAATAAATATATTTAGAAGCTTAATTGCAGTGCTGCTCTGTTGAGAATATTTTTAATATTAATAATGTAATGTTAAACTACCTGCAATACTAAATTTTCGTATGCTGTATGCATTATTGCAGAAGCAAACAGCTTTGAAGGAGCACTGTATTCCTTCATTAGTGAACTCCCACTAAACTAGGCATCGGGTAACTTGAAAACAAATCTCAGCATAGTTCAGCAGTCTCAACTACATTTGTAGTAAAATGTAAACCAGAATCATGCAGATCTGCCACCCTACACTGAGGTGTAGGTCCACCATTTTAAATACAGCATCTGCATGAAATCATTCTGTTCAGTGCACTGCTGACATGATATTCATTAGGTACTTCATGGCAGTCTCCACATCCCTTATAGTTTGTGTCAGGACTAGAAAAAGTCACGGATAACATGAATTAATCATGAGTGTGTGCTATGCTAAACATATTTGATATATAGTGAGCGCTTGATTCCTTGTTTTTCCATTCACCACCTGCAACAGGAAGAACAGACTTTCTCTCAAGCTTATTCCAATATCTCAGTAAGATGGTAAGGTAGTCACTAAGAACAACTCAGGGATGTCTGATTTTTATTCTCCCTGCTTATGGTGAAGCATTGGTCTTTGATGGACATGGCTGAGATCAGGAAGTGTACTGTACAGGGGAATGTGAGCTCACACCCCAGTCTCCAATGGCACAGTATTTCAGTCAGGTCCATTGCAGTGTGACCTAGCATTTTATTTCAGTTTAGATCTTCATTCTGGGTAGAATATGGTAATGTTGTATAGTTTTAGTTGACTTGAAATTTTCATATGGATTTTCTTGAAAAATCACACGCAAATTATTCTTAGCAGCTAAGTTTGTAATCTTCCCTTTCAAGTCTTTTCCCGTGCAGCATGATTTTGCACTTGTGTGGCTTCAGTTTTTTCTAATGCTCTCTCTCCATAGTCCACTTACTGCCAAAGTGGCTACCAATTTCAGTTGCACCCAATATCCCTCCTCTCGAGCCTGTGATGGCATATGGTGCTATCTCGACAGTACAAACAAGCCCAGACTGGCTCAGTACAGAAATCCCCCAAACGGGGTTTTGTTTCCCAGTTGTGTGTATATATCACACAGAATGTAAAGAATTGAGTAAAAATTTTTAAAAAAAGAAAAAAACAGAAATCTAAATACGAAAGTTTCAAAATGGGGTTTCATCTGCAATTCTCCTTGAGCAAGCAGGCAGTTTTCTCTGATTTTCCATCTTCTTCTGCAGGCATGTTGTCAGACATGCCATGCTTCTTCGCAGATAAGACCAGTTTGTACCCTGCAAACAATACTCTTGTTCTTTGAATTTAACAGATCATTCAAAGATGGGAGCCCTTTGCCCACTGAACTTCAAGTTCATGAACTTCACAGAGCTATTCAATTCATGGGGAGAGGGTGGCTGGACACCAACAGTTTTTTAATAGCGGTATTTATGTAACCATACTCGTCTAGCTCACACCTTGATGTGAATGGGACTTCTTAAAAGGCAATGAAACAATGGTTTTTGTTCTTCCTGTTTTTTTATATAAGAATACAGAAATTAGAATTTTTTTAAAAATTGTCACTCCATGCCCCAAACATTTATGTTCATACGTGTATCATCAAGTCAGCTAGCAGAACATGCACACAATAATGTTTGACATTTTGTAATGTCCGTTAAGCAGCCACCAAGAATATATAATAAAATAATAAGTATATATAGTGTCTTTCATGGCGGTGGAATGTCTCAAAGTGCTTTGAAAGCACAATGAAGTGGATATGAATCTGGGATTTTCTCTTATGGTGAAGCATGTAGACACTGACTGACATGGCTGAGGTCAGCTTCTATTTATTTCTAGAATTAATACTGCTTCATAATTCAACCAGCAAGAGTTGAACAATCATGGCTATGGACACAAAATGACTGTAAAGTCTGTACTTAACTGACAAAATATGCAGCACTTCATGGCAGGAGAAACAGTTTGTTAATATTTATAGTAGTAGGAATCTATATTTAGCCAATAGTAGCCAACAATAACAGTTTTCATTTAAATAGCACACTTCACGTGGGATAAAGTCTTACAGCTCTTAAATAGGAGTCAAGGAGTTCCACCATTGACTCCATCTTCCCAAACCTTTTGGATTGAGTGCCAGAGGTGGAACGACCTGAGTGGAGCTTGCACAAAAAAATTGATGGGTAGTTTCCAAGGAGTAATTTGACCCAATGTTTCTGTCTCCAATTTGTTTCAATACAACTGATAGAGGAGATAGTCCCGATTAAAATTGTTTTTATTTCTACCATGAGAAATAAAGATATTCCTGTGAGTTGTATCAGATATGATTATGATCTGGAGTTAAGTTTTTGGCAGCAAGCTCCATAGAGTGTTTGGAAGGAAAACTAACAAACCAAAGAACCCAATCACTCCACTAACCACTCCAAGCTGCTGACTGCACACCAGAAGGGGGAAAAGGGCAGAAATTCTGCTCTGCAGATCTTCAGAAAATTAGTTTTCAAATTCCATCTGTAAACTAAAGATTAAACTGTGGGTAACAGTGCCAGTGATAACTACACTATTGTCCCCTGTGGATAAAATCCCACCTGTGGTTTCTTGACTTCTGAAATGCATCACTCCTATCAACAAGTAGTCTGGTCTAGAATTCATATCCTTTGAAGTGTGAAATTAACTTTTTTTAAACAGTATTGTCCCTTATTTTCCCCTTCTGTTTGATCCTTACCCATATGTTTTAAGTTACCACTTACAGGAGTACACAATATTAAAACCTGCAGTTTTACAAGATGGTAAGACTTTGATGACTCTGAATGTACAGTTAATATAGTGTTTATTTTGCTAGCATATTCTTTGGCCACAAATAGTATTTGCCAGGAATAGTTCTCTGACTATTATAGTGCATGCTTTATGCCATCTATACAGTCTAATCAATGCTGCTAGGCAAATCCTAGATGAATTTGCAAGATAGTCCTGGAATCCTATCCAGTAATGAGAGTGCAAACAATTTTACCCCCTCTTAATGCCAAAAATGAGACCACCTTGTTTTAATAAGATCTTACTTCATATGGTGAATGGATGAGAAGGTTACCATTTGCTCCTTTTGGACAATTTTTAGATTGTTTGCTTAGGATTTTTAATTTGCTCTTCATGATTCTCTTGCAAATTTCACAAACTAGATGATACAATTAACACAGCAAATCGGGTTTGCAAGTATCTCAGCTTTGTTCCCATATTATTTTATTCTAAACTGATCTATTTTACTCAACAACTGTCTTCATTAGTTAATAGAGGCAAATCTGGTTCAACATTTTACCAGAAGTGGAAAAACTGGTTTTAAAGCATGATTCTTGATTCTTCTGTGCTGGACCTATGAAGAATTAACATCTGTCCAGTAAAACCTGGCACTATTACCACAGGTTGTATTTGGAGGGCCAATAAATAATCCTTTAACCTAAGCTTTCTTCATATGGGAAAGTGTGTCTTTTCAGCACTTCCCCCAGATGTGTTTTTTTAAATTGGGAATTTGCCATATAGCTTATTAAAGTATGAGAAACCTTGATTTCCCTCATGGTACAGCTCATCTATATGCTATCACGCCATACTACCAACATTTGTATTTATCATTGGGGCTGTCAATCTTTGCGATCAGGACCACAGGCTTAGTAATGGTCTCTGGGCAAGACATCTGCTGGTCAGTAAATTTCTCAACCAAAGAAATTTCACCTCATAAACATTGTTGTCCATTTGATTTTACATCACATTTATAGAAACAAAGCAAAATTGAAGGAATCCCTAACAATGAATTAAAGTGATTAGATTGCCAACTACCCAGTTAAATTCTCATTGTGTTACTTTATTCCACATCTCCCATGTTATTTCTTCAGTAGGTCAATGGAATGGGAAGATTATCTCTTCACATTACTATGAATGGGAGAATACAAAGCTCTGCATAAGAGTGCATAGGAGGAAACTTAATGCATATAACAGAGAGAGAGGTATAAGAGAAGGGATTACAAGCGGTGGAGACTTGAATTGAGTATAAACATATGGACTAGTCGGACCCAATGGTCTGTGTTGTATCATTCTATGTGATACTATGATTACTCAAATAAATCATTGGCTTGCTTGTGTCTGACTCCATTCAGTATCTTTGTTTGAAAAATGCTGAAGGGACAGTGAACCCTTTTCAATCAATAGATACTGAAAGATGCCCTGCTGCACCACTAGAACATTGTAACATTATTTTTAAACAGTAGGGTTAATATAAAATTGTTGCTTGTCCACAGTAAGCAAATGTGAAAACACTTTATGTATGTTATTTAGGTGCTGTTTAATTTAACTTTGCACCCTCTGTTAGAAGTGTCCTTACTGTCTATAATGTTGCTTAACATTGACACCTCCGCCAAATTGCCCGTCTCCGACAATACCTGACCCCAAAAGCTGCCGAAACTCTTGTTCATGCCTTTGTCACCTCTCGGCTGGACTACTATAACTCCCTCCTCACCAGTCTCCCCTCCTCCACTATTCGCAAAATCCAGCTCATTCAAAACTCCGCTGCCCGCATTCTCACTCGCACCAAACTCCATACCCCGATTACTCCAGTCCTTGCCAAACTCCACTGGCTCCCTGTCACAGAGTGGATCAACTTCAAGATCCTCACTCTAGTGTTTAAATTCCTTGGCACTCCCCTATCTCTCTAACCTCTCTCCCCACAGCAGTACCCGCTGCCTCCGCTCTACTGGGTCCAGTCTCCTCTGCATCCCCCAAATTCTCCATTCCACCATCAGCTGTTGTGCCTTCAGCCACTTCCCCCCAAAACTTTGGAACTCCCTCCCTCAACTCCTTCGCTTCGCCCCCTCCTTCCCCATCTTCAGGTCGCACCTGAATACCTTCCTTTTCGACTGCACCTACGGTCACCTTCCCCCTCCCCCTGGCTCGGCCTTGAACTCCACCATTAAGCGCTCTGAGATGCCGCCCATTGTGGAGGACACTATATAAGTGCAAGTTGTTGTTGACAACTTTATTTTCCTCAGAATGCTTGTGTGATGCCACTGTTCGAAGTGGAGCATTAAAGCAACATTTATTTCCACATATTTATAAGAATGATAGTTTTTAGCTTGTTCCTGTATAAGTTTACAGTATGTTGAAGCAAAATACAAAAATGTATGCTGATATTTGGATGAGATGCCCCATTTAATGTATTCTTTTTATTTTATTAGGAGCGTGGTTGTACCAGTAAAGAAACCTCCTCCGGGGAGTCTGGCTGTCAATACTGTCGGTGGAGCTGGAGCTACAGGTGGTCTTGCCACTGGGAGTGCATCAAATGCCATCACACCTACAGGGACTACACCAAAAAGTATGATAAACACCACAGGTACAGTCAAAGGGTCTTTAGTTATAAAAGAGAGGGGACCCGTAAATAAGTGTACCACTAGATGTCGCCCTGCTTCCTGTAAAATGTTATGGACCAATTTCAGTACAAAACTGTATATTGAGTCAAACAAAACTATTCTGTTTCCTGGACAGCATCAGGCAGTAAAACATTTATCAGGAATTGGTGGAAAGCAAAGTTTTCAAAGTTATTAAACCAAATAAGCTTATCAGAGAATAAAGTTGAGGGATACAGGGAAAAAGCCAGGATATGGGATCAGGGTTATGATATAGAATAGGCACTTGTTTAGAGTACAGGATGGGCCAAACAAATAAGCATTTATTTATTTTAACATTAACTTCTCTTCTGGTTCTTCCTCACCTGTCTCTATTTCAGAGGCTAGATAGCTATCTGATGTGAAACTTGTGGACATGCATAGTAATCCTGATATTAACACCTTGCTGGAGCAGGAGTTTGCTCTTAACACTGAAGCCTTTGGGCTTTCTGTATGCCACTTCCTGTGTTGTATATGTGCTATTCACAGGAAATGGTACTGACATTTTATGAGGGAAGTGACGTTAGCAGCATGGGCATGTGCAGCACACAGGAAGTGAAATCTTGGTGACCTACCTGGAAGTTGGTCATTTTTTCTCACTGAGATTTAATGAAGCCAACAAGATATTGGACTTGGACAACCATGTAATATGGGATTACCCAATACTTCCCTGCAGAACAAACAAACCAAACAAATTACATTTTTAGAGAGCCTTTCATGTCGGGAGGATCTCCCAAGGCCTGGACAGTCAGGGATTTGGACCCAAGTAAGGGGTTACGATTGGGGGGGTTGTAGAGGGTAGCCGAAGAGGAGGGTTTTGAGACGTGCCTTGAAGGAGGTAAGGGAGGGAGCAAGGTGAAGAGACTGGGATGGAATTTCAAAGGATGGGGGCAGAGAGCCTGAAGTCCCGACCACCGATATGGGACGGGGGCGCGTGGAGCAGGCCAGAGCCTGCAGAGCGGAAGGTGCAGACCAGTTCATATGAGGTTAACAGGTCCCAATGGTAGGAAGGAGCAAGGCCGTGGAGGGCCTTGAAGACGAGGACAAGGATTTTGAACACTATCTTCTGAGGATGGGGAGCCAGTGGAGCCTGTGAAGGTGGGGGTGTAGGATCACGGAGCCTGGTACCGGAGCTGATAGGATCACATGAGCTGCAGAGTTCTGGATGATCTGCAGCGCTTGTGGAGGGAAGAGTTGGAAAGGCCGATAAGCAGGAGTTGGCATAATCAAGCCTAGATGTGATGAATGCGTGGATGAAGGTTATGGAGGCCTGAAGGGAGAGGCAGTGGCGAAGCCAGGCCGTGTTGCGGAGGGGGAAGGCAGAGCAGGGCATAGCCCAGATGTGGGGTAGAAGGGACAGTTGAGGGCCAAACAAGATGCCAAGGTTCCCGGACTGGCTTGGTGAAGTGGACTGTGCATCCATAGATGGTGATGCTGCCAGTGTCTGAGGTGTGGAGGTACTGACGGGAGCCAATTAGGAGGACCTCATCCTGTTGACATTCAACTGTAGAAAGTTAGCTCTAATGCAGAACTTGATGTCTGACAGTGACCCTAGAGTTGAGGGTGGAGGCAGAGAGATAGAGTTGTGTGTCACCCATACACGTGTGTAAGTTGACCCCATGTCTGTAGATGATGTCACCAAGACGGAGCATGTAGATGTTGAAGAGGAGAGGACCAAGGACAGAGCTCTGAGGAACACAGACAGCTACTGAGAGGGTTAGACTTGACAGAGACAGAAGAATTGTCTGATAAATCATCCTCCCTCTGATTTCCCTTTCCGTTGCTCACCACCTAGCTAAAGCAACCTAGATGTGAAAGTGATGGAACCTGTACTTCTTGCATTCAGGTTCTGTAATTATGATAAGTTAGTCATTTCGGAGGGCATATCAAGGAGAGCTGTACCAACCTTTGCTATCCCCACACAAGAAAACTGTTGAACTATGAAAGCAGATTAATTATCAAAGGTCATAGGTTTCATTAGTTGATTTAGAAGATCATTCTTCTTGTTTAATCATTAGCCGTTCGAAGAATCCAAACCTTCAGTTAAAGTTTTGTAGACTTTTTTTCATGCATTAGGTGATTAATTCTTTAAATTTAGAGAATTTATTTATTTACATGTGACTGTCTGATAAATCATCGCGGAATTGATTCTTTCACGACTACTTGCCCTTGTAGCTCAAAAACCTTAAAACACATTTATTATTTTAACTATATGAACTTGACCTCCATCTTAGGTCTTTGTACTTTTACAGCAAAAATCATTGTATGTATATTTGTTATCTCCAATACTTTGTTTTGATGTCCAACCAAAACTACTCCACTGGCATTGGTTCAACTGATGAGCCTGATTTTTGGCTGCATCCAGTGAACTAAACTGTTCAGCATTTTGCCCAGTTTGTTATCTGAAACCTTTCATTGTTCCGACTGTAATTTGAAAACAGTCCTTACAGCTGCTGATGATTAACCCTTTAGGGTTGCATTAGCATCTCTGCACAAAACTGATTTCTTTTTACAAAAAAATGAAAGCCTGCACATGTCAGATGAATACCTTGAATGCTATAAAGCGATAAAGATTCAGATTAACACAGTGGGTTTTGATCTTGGTTAGATTGTCAAGGGCAAAAAGCAAGGCAGAGTTCTGCAGAGGAGAGGGATTTGGAGAGCAAATTATCCCAGGCTGCTCCTGCATAGCATTTTATGGCTCATTACAGAGAAGCATTGACAAAGATCTGGCAGCAGGTTGTCTGCCACCCTCTCAGCTGGGGAGTCGTATGTTGTGCAGATAAAGTTAAAACTTAAAAGAGAAGGATGAACACCTTTCAAATGGAGAATGCTCAATTAAAGAACACTGCACTAAGAATTATTCTATAGTAAGAGGCCAGGACAGTCCCATTGTATTGAAGCTCTGTGAGCTGCATTGTGGAATAGTTGCACATAGATTTGCCCTATGATTTTCTCCTGAACAAGTTCAGAATCTTAACTTTTGTGTGTACGTAGGGTGGGAAAGATGTTTGGTGTGGGAAGTTTTGGAGAGAAAATTAAATAAAATGGGACACATTTATCACGTTTGTGCTCTTTCATTCTTTTTGGATATTTAGTTAGCAATTCTACACAGAATAATCATTGCAATGACACTTACAGTGCCTTGGGATGGCCTCCCGACGTGAAAGGCGCTATACAAATGTAGTTTTGTTTTTTGTACATTAAAAGCTGAAGAGAATATTTAGCATCAAGAGAGTTAAATTCAGTTTCACTTGAAGCTAATTATCAACAATCATGTGCAATATCACTTTTTTTTCTGCATTGCTTTATAGCTGTTTTCTGCAGATAGATTGGGTGGGCATGAGTAATAGATTTTGATGGTAATGACACTTTTTTATGATGGTGACAAAATAGAAAATGTAGCAATTACTCAATATTATTAATCATCAGAATTTATGTTGACAAAATGAGCAATGTATAAGATAGTATTCATGTGCATTATATAGCAATTTAATGACCCTTAACGGCGAAGGATGAGATCATTGAGGTTGAAGTAGCTTTAATCAATAGGTCATTGAAGTAGACTGTATATTAAAATAAGGCAACATGATGAAAATCCATTGTTTAAAAACAATTTTTGTTGTTCTTTTCTTTCAAGATGATAAGCACATCTTATGTAATAGTTCATAGTGTTATTGAACTCTTAAGTGAAACAAAGAATTCCACAAAATAAATTAATACGTTTCCACTGACATCTCCATCAATCTTAGGTTTATATCTTGGAATGTTTTTGCACAGGTCCTGCAGAGGCTGCTTCCACATCCTCCTCTTCCTCTTCCTCTAGTTTTGTGAATGGTGCTACAAGCAAGAACCTTCCTGCAGTCCAGACTGTTGCTCCAATGCCAGAGGACTCTGCTGAAAATATGAGGTGCAATAACAACACTTTCTTTTCCATCTTAATGCATTTCATGCTTGTAATACATTGAGCCGTACATTTCAGAAGTGAGAGATAATGATGTATTTAGAAGGCTTCTACAATGTTAAGTGAGAAAATACATTTTCTGGTGTATCATGAAATAATAAAGAGCTGAAAAATGGCAAGTGTAATTTCCTGAGTTTGTGCTGTGGTAGTCAATCTGAACTGCAGCAACAGAGGAGGCACAACAACTGGCCTTATTTTCTCTGGGAAGAGACCAAATCGCCAGAGTTTCCTGTTTGTGATGGTTTTCAAATTTCTTATCGGAATATGCAAGTGTATATATAGTCTCTGGATGAGGATTGATTATGCTGATTGGTGTTGTCCCCCACAGTGACAGGGTTCATACATGGGGGAGAATTTTCAGCTAGATCCAAATGTACTCTATTTAGGTGGAATCTAAATTAGCAAATTGTTAAATTCAGTCCTATCGCCCGCATCCTTGCCCAGCTTCACTGGTATCCCAACCCTCAGAGAATCGAGTTTAAAACCCTCATTCTCACTTTCGATGCCTTCCATGGTCTTGCTACCCCTTGCCTCTGCGACTTCCTAACCCCGTATTAGCCTGCCTGCTCCCTCTGCTGTGCATACACCGGCCTGCTCCAGGTCCCCTGCACTTCCCACCCCACCCTTAGCGGTCAGACATTTAGCATCTCTGCCCCCATACTCTGGAACTCTACTCCGCAATCCCTCCAACTTCTTGCCTCCTTCAAGTCCCCTTCAGCCACCCTACTACCCTCTTGCCCTGCATCCCTCCTGACACCAACTCCCAGTTCGGATCCAAAACCCCTGATTTTCCAGCGCCCTTGGACGTCTTTCCGGTGTGAAGGGCGCTATACAAGTGTAATTTGTTGATGTTGTTACCTTTGAAGTTATTTTTTTAAAGAACTTACAGAAAAACAGCTTCAAAATCAAGGCTTATGTCAAATTCTGGATGATTTAATTAGTTGTGTAATTTCTCCCCAGCAGAGAGGTACCAGAAGGCATCTGATACCCTGCAAGAACAAGAATGTTCAAAGAGGAGGGTTGTAAAGCATAGTAAAATGTGCGCGGGGGGAGAATCATTTAATCTTAAATACTAATTTATATTTATGTGTCATGAACCCCTATTAGTAGTAGGCAGGAATTTCCAGACAAAAGTAAAATTACTGGAATGAGAGAGAAGATTCAGTCAGATTGCAACACAATGGAAAAATGGTATACAGTTGAATTTAGTTGTAAATTTCCAGTGCGATATTTCAAGGTTTACATCCAGTTTTATTTTTTAACAGCATCACAGCCAAACTTGAGCGAGCCCTTGAAAAGGTTGCTCCACTATTACGTGAAATCTTCGTAGATTTTGCTCCCTTCCTTTCACGAACTCTCCTTGGTAGCCATGGACAGGAGTTGCTGATCGAAGGTACAGGTGCTGTACAGTTAACTTTATTTTCTACATGATTTATATGTAACCTTGCTGAGAAGCAGTTCACTGGTGGCTGATTTGCTTCTATCTTAAATCAATAGTGTGGCAAATTAGATAAATTATTAACCTCTTTAAAACATAAATGTATTCATTAACAGTGAAAACAAAGCAGCATTTTCATTCTTTGAATGAAATAAAACGGTGCCATTTTTTATTCATGATTTTTGTCTTATATTTTATCAAATATACCATTCCTGATTATAATGCTTTTTTTCAAATCCAAAGTATATTACATTTTATTTAATGGAATTGTTATCCATTTTTAAAATTCTGCAATATTTTCAAGTTTTTAAATGAATCTTAAAGTATTTGAATAGTTATCTACTGCTTTATATTTTACAATGCTAAGTGTCTTCTACATATGCCCAGCCTCCACTGTGCACTGCTCCTCTCAGACCTTTTCATCGACAGGCATTATACTGGTAATTATTTTGGAAAAGTATAATATCAGTGGATGAGGGCAAGGAACAAAATCATCTTTGTGGAAGCATGATTTTACAAATGTGTGGATGATGTTGCTCATGAATAACACAAATATTAATATATGGCAAATATTATAAAACCGGTTTTGTTGTATTCTGTCTTGTATTCTCATCACCAATTTAATAAAATGTAAAAAACTGGAAATGTTGCTGCAAACTATTTTCATCTTCTCAGAATAAAACTGCAGCTTTATACCAGAGCATGTATTGGCAACTAAATTGAGTTCAGGAGACATTTTGGGGGTGTCTATCATGCATGTTGTACGATTGCATGCCTATTAGTATTGCAAGTATTGGCAAATTCTGTGCTGAAATATATTCTGCAGTTTAAGCCATAAATGCTTTAAAACACTGAAAGTTTAGACTGCTATTGTGGTTTCCAGATACCCCAGGACTTGTTTCAGTCAAGACTTACACTATGTTGTCAATTTAATGTTATCAGGTGTAGTCAAATGTTTCTAACATATGTACAGGTTCAAGAAAATATAAAAGTCACATTTTGACAAGAATCAGACTGCTTATTCCTGAATAAGGTTGCTTTTAAATTACCTGCATGGAAAATTATTACATTCAGTAGACAATTTCAAGAGGTGTATAAAGTTCTCATTTACTGTATTGAAAAATGGATATTTTAAAATAATTTCAACTGTTGCTTTTGGATTGTATTCACTGGATGAAAAGTACATTTTAGTTTGAAATACTTATTCTTATTGGTCCTAAACATCAAATAAAGCACATAGACCATTCTACATTCATTATCATTTCTGCTTTAAGTTGCTCCTCAAAGTTCATGTCGCTGAACAAACTCTGCTTTTAACACTGTCATTAACTCATTTAGTACAGTGGAAAGTTAATTCAGGTCATTGAATTTAACTTAATACTGTATGTAGTAAAAAGGCCATTTCATTTCATAAAATGCCATTATAATTTTATAAAATATTACTATATAAACTATATTTCTTGAACAAGCATGTTTTATAATTCATAGTTTTATGATTCATACTTCTAATAAGCAACAGTTCTGTAAATGGGGATAATATTCCAATATAATTGTATTCATCAATTAAATGCTTTTTGGACATTCATTAATCCATTGACATAAATATTAATTCCTAATTTAACCTCACGAACAGTTATTTTTGGCTATAACAACATATGGCTAAAAAATTAAACAGTGAATTAACAGAACAAAGCATATTATTAAAAAACAGATCACAATGATTGAAAACATTGCAGACCTTTTTAATGAATTGATGCATACATCAGATTTGAATAGATATCATACTGTATTTTAGGGATCTATTGAAAGAGGAAATAAGTAGGTATGGCAAATAATTGCCAGTGTCATCCTGTCAAGGTTTTTTAGGAGAAAAAAAATCTTTGTTATAAATGGTTAAATATTATTTTTCAAATTATCTAAAATATTAAAATGTTTGCCTGTTCATTTGTTATTCCTCCACTACAGAATAGCAGATGTTTTAACTGGCAGATTTATTTTTACAAAAAGTTTTTTTCTTCATGGAAGTGTCAATAAACTAGAATTACTGTAATTATTTTTTCTTTGAAAACTTGTTTGAAGAGAATGTTCAAAGCGTAAACATTCCCACTCTGCATGAACGATCAGGCTTATTACACTACCTCAAATTGCATTGGATCCAAATTACAAGGGGATAACTGCAGCATTAAAGCTCCCTTCACAAATTAACTTATTCTAAATCGTTATCTAATTAATTTCTGATGTATGCTATAAATTATGAAAATTCATAGAATATGATTTTCATTCCACTTATCGCACTGTCTGTACCTCACTTGCAACTTCATTCATGAGTGTATATGGTACATGAACTTGAACCATATCATTGACCTTCGTGATTGATATTAGAGCAACACATATGAAAGTGTTGGCAACATTGTGCCTACAGGAAAGGTGGTCAGTGTAATGGATCCTATGATCATTCTTTCCATTCCCAGGCTGGGGAGTAGACAAATGAGCGCCTAATCCCTATAATGGTAGTAGTGTAGCTCAGTGGTTGGAGCACTCGCCCAGCAATCGAGAGGACTTGGATCAGGGGATAACAAGATTGGGCTCAATGTGTTGTTTGATAAAATGGCCTACCAGCATTCTGCCAGCAATATAACAACAACAATAACAAATGACATCTGTACAGTGCCTTTCATATCGAGAGGACATCCCAAGGCGCTATCTGGAACAATAAATAAAACATTTACATAGGTAGCTGTCACCCATGGAACTATACTCCTGCATCAGTCCATTTCATGAAAATGTGGGTTAAAAAGTACAACCACCAATCATCAATAATCAGGAACTCTTTGACATCTCTGCTTGATATACTGCTTTTGTTTTCTTCTCATCCTCATTATGCCATTCACGAAACATTCTGATTGCTAATAATCATTGTGTCTGGCTTAGCAGAAGGACATTTTCTTCAGTGTATCTAAATCTACAAATAGATTTGACTTGACAAGTCGACCATCAATCGGCTTGAAGTTTAAGATGGATTCTCAACATTTGGCTTACACCAGCTATCACTTGTCTCTATGAAGTCTGCTCAACATCACAGCTGGTGCTCTTAGCAGACTATCTTGAATTTTAGTTAGTTTTTAATGGGAATTATTGCAAGATCCTTCATGCCTTTTTATAACAATGGTTAATTGCTATATACAAATACTATTAGGGGATTGACTGTTAAAATCATAACACACTAAATTGGGATCTTCAGGAGCCAAGAGAAATAATAATATAAAATATTCTTTGTCTTTGATACATCAGGAGAATGTCTTAAACTGGTTCATCGGATTTTACTAAAAAATATAGTGACTGTATTTGTTGGTGAATGTGGCAGCCATTTTGCATACAACAATGTCCCACAAATTGCCCTAGGGATTATTGGCCAGGGCACCAGAAGAAACTCCCTTCTATTTTCAAATAGTGCCATGGGATCTTCAATATCCTTCTGAACGGGCAGGTGATTTCATGTCTCACCCGAAGGAGAGCACCACCAAAAATGCTGCACAACCCTACCACTAGTTCGGTGTGTCAGCCTGGACTGTTAGTTCAAAGTCCCAATATGATGTTTGAATCCACAAACTTCTAACTCGGAGACGAGAGTGCTACCAGCTGAGCCACCTCATGATATTCTGTAAAGATGAGGTCTTTTACACTGTACCTTTTACATGACAAAATGCAATATTGTCATTGAGGACTTTTGCATGATTTAAACAACCTACTTGGTGACAGATTTCTGTTGCTTTAGTCTTTTATAAATCACTTAATTAAATGCAAAGCAGTATTTTTAAGCTGTGATTAGATATGTTAAAGTACATAATTTGCATAATGTTAATTAAATTATGTTTTGTCCAAATACTTATTCAACCTGAGGTATTTGTGAATATTATAATTTATGAATACCTAAACAATTGTCTCAAATATTGTATAAATGACAAAAATATTATATCTAGTTTAAGAAAGCATTTGATAGGAACTTCCTGCCATTATTGGCACCATCACTTTTTTTGAGAAGGTTGACGTGGTTGAAGGTGTCTATTTGTGAAACACAAATATACACCTCAACACTTGAGTATCAAGATTTGATTTAATACGAACCATTTTAATCGAATGTTGCAGCCTAGCCACAGTTAAAATGTAAATTTAGTTATTGCTCGAGTCACATAAGGACGGCAAAATTATACAGAATATCTGTAAAAGTGTATCCACAATACAAAATATCAAAGTAATGCATTTGCTGTATAGATGGGAATGAGAACGTATCCTCCTAAAATGGATTGCTTGGTTCACATGGTCCAGATTTCTGGATTAATAATGAACATTCATATATAAATTTGAACCAGAACACATTTCATTTATTGAAGAATTTTACTTAATTACCTCAATAAAATGTTGTTTGCTGCTAGGTTTCATTTTTATTGTATATAAATCTAAAATTTCAGACATTCCTAAATTAAAATCATCGCTGATTGTTGTTGGTAGAACTAAAATATGTGCCTGAAAGTAAATTCAATACTTTTTTTGGAAAAATATCTGCAACTCATTAGACTCATGACCTTATTGAAGTAATGGCGGCTTTAATTGGAACACTTACTTTACAAGTAACACAAAATAAATCATGTTTTAAATTTGCTGAGGAAATGCCTGATCAATTGATGGGATTTGGTCCATAGTTATGTTGTTATAAGTGATTTGAGATGTCCTTCCAACATAAAAGACACTATATAAATGTAAATGGTATTGCAGAAACTTATGTGACTTCCTGATTTTCTTCAAAATATCATGTAAATACAGCTAAACACACATAGCAAGTTTGAATTTCACAGAGAGGAAAGTATTACAAATAGACTTTTTACTAGTTATAAATGATTTTCTAATTGATTTATCAGTGATAGCAGTAATGAAGCAGTAATTCATCACACAAAGTGGATGCA